TATGAGAATGATGAGTAAAAGGTCTTCTCTAGAACACCTAGAGAGATTTACAACACACTCTCCACATTGCCAACCCGTAGCAACAACAACCACCACCAGAGGCAAGATTTCAGCACAGCAAAGTTTATACAGCTTCTGTATTCTTCAGTGTTTTACAAAATTGCTCTTAAACTGCTAGACCAAATAGCATCAAATTTGGCAGACAAGTAGACACACGAGTTCTTGAGATCCCTTCAAAATTTCAGCTCAATCGGACACCGTTTGCCTACCCAAACTGTTAGTCTCCTAAAACTACACTGTTATGAAACTGCAGCAGTCAAAGCTGACAGAACCACTCTCAAATCTGATGCTCCACTAACCCAATCCTCAAACCAGCTAAGCAGATCGAAGTACTCAAAGTAAGGAATGAGCTCACCAAGTTTGGTGCCAATCCAAGCACGTTTGAGTCTCCAATCATCATCTTAAACACTGTCTAGTCAGATGCAGCAAATCTGGATAGAACCTCCACTTCTTCTTCTTCTTCTTCCTCTCTTTCACATGCTGTGTTTTTTCTCTTGTGTGCTCTCTCACACTATCAAGAATGGCAGCCACCACCAGCAGGGGTTGAGTGGCTAGGGTTTTCTCCTTGCTTCACTTCCCTCGGAAGCGCTCTCAACCGTAAGATGCAGCGAAGATCAACCGCTGACATGTGTGTGGACTTATGGGCTGATGTTGGGCTGCCAACACACCTCCATGTGGAGGAACTTTGCCCAACAATTGAGAACCTTAAAGAAGAGATTAGAGATTGTTGGCAAAAGGCGATTTCTCGCCGTTCCCGTCAGCGAGATTGGCGGTCCTCCACACCTTCGATGCCCATCTTGGTTGCTCGAGGTGGATCTGGCCGCAGGCGCTCATCGGTTGGGCAGGGTAGGTTTCACTTTTGGGAGGTATAGTGTCTGGATGACGAGTTCATGGAGACCTCGTTGTCATAGAATAAGGTCCTCCCAAGGTCGTCCCACTCCTGGTAGTGTTCTCTCCAGTTCTGTCGTTGGGCGCATGGAGGTCGTCCTCTCTGAATCTGGTAGTATGCATCTGGACGAGCGTTGTACATGAGATTCTCTCTGTTCTGCGGATTTGGCCTCCTTTTGGCAGTGGTGATGGTAGAGGTTGAAGAAATAAAATTGCATGAGCTTTCAAGTCCAGATATGCCAAGGAGCAATGGTTAATGCTCCTGCCTTTGTGAGGCTTCAAGTTGGGGTTCCTCCTCCTTTTCTCAGCTGGTTCTTCGACGGTGGGTCAATGAGGAGCTTTCTCTGGGGCGTCGCCCCACCGATGGGGTTTCTTCGGTGGTTTTGCTTTGCCTTCAGTGGTGGCCTTCTACTACGACATATATGGCCATGTTTGGCGAGTTGGTGCTCCTGGAACCGGGGAAGCGGTCTTTAGTGTTGTTAGCTTCCTTGGGCACCGAACCAAGAGGCGAGGTAGCTCGTTCTTGGCTTGCAGCTTCGGCGAAGATGGAGTCTGAGACCTTGTTTTCCATTTTTTGGATTTGTTGTATTTAGAGTCCTTTCTAAATCGTTCTATTCCCTGATGTACTATCATATATGAATATGGAAATACCTGTGGGTGTTTCTTTAAAAACATTTCTAAATTGGACAATTTCAGCCCCTCAACCACTAGAAGTGGTTTCTTTGATGAGGTGGAATGGTTTGATTGTTTTCCTTGAGGTGATAACTGCTATTCCAACTTGGCATCTAATTATATCACCTCGTGTACCCATTTTTTTTTACTTTGATCCATGGTTTCTATCTTGTTTTACTTACATGCGGGCACCACCTGCACCCTCCAAGCCTACCTCTATCAGGAAAATATACTCACCCCTTCTCCTCTAGACTAGCATTCCAACACCACATGAGCCTGGAGTTTAGTTTCTGGTGAAACCTATTAGCTCTAGCATCCTTCCCCGAGCCTCCCATGCCTCATAGATCGCATGGCCTATTTGAAGAACTCAATCCTCCGCAACCTCTACCCAGCGGCAGAACCATGAAAAAGTGACCCAGATAAATAAACTAAATGCATGGTATATGACCAAGAATTGATCTACCAACAAAGAACCGTTACCAAACCTGAACGGATGGAAACAAAAAAATGTTCCCTAATTTGGTCATCACAATTGAAGAGCCAAAAATGATCACTCCCCCCCTCCTCTACTCTCTATCCCACACTGTCCCAACCTACGAACCCATCTACATCTCTCACCTAGACCAATCCACGTGCACAACCGATGCAACCACACTCTCGAGTAGCTAGTAGGCTAGGCTATAGCCATCTTCGCCAGCCCAACCCTGAAATATCTCTTGTCACTATTATAAATTCAGAGTTGAAATATCTCTTCTCAGTACTAATGTGAGAGGCGACTAAAAGAGGCGGTCATAAACATTAAAACTTTTAGCCGTTTCTAACGAGCATGATTAGGCGGTTTAAAAAAGTAAACTACCTCCAATAAGCTAGTGCGTAACTGAAGGCGGTTCGAGATGGAAACCGCCTCTAATATGGATACATTGGAGGCGGTATACATCACAAAATCGTCTTCGATTACGATGCATTGACCTTTGTAGCATAACATGCAATGCAGTCGTTGTGTTGGATTCTTTTAATGGAGTATGTGACACTCTAATCACAACCAATGACTAATACTATGAGCTTGCTACTAAAAAACCCCGACATGGTATAGACCACACGCTAGTAGGTGATTAACACACTACTACTGACATGGATTCTACCTTCGATGTGATAGACACTACTCCCTCCATATGGATTTGTGAGGATTTTTTTATTTGACATCAAATTTTAACCATAGATTTAATTAATAAAGTACTCCCTCTGTTCCTAAATATATGACATTTTGCCTAAAAAATTATTATTTTTGAAACAAGACAAAAGATTTGCCATTTCATTGATTAAGAAGAAGAGAATTGCCTGGTTAATTGATGGAAAACCGGGCTAAAACCGATACAACCCAGCCCACATGATATGGGCACCACCAGCCAACCTGCTCACAGACATGGAACACAAAGCTGCAAAGAAGAAAGACATCCGCCAAGGAGTCGCAAGCGTTATCATCATCACCGGTTGTCTTGAACGAGCGACTCCAGCTTCACCATAGAGCTCCACAATCAAAGCCAACCCAGAAACAGCTGCGCAGAAGCCAAGACGATACATGCCACCAGAAAGCCACACGCGCAAGCAACCGACAACTTCGACTTTGACCACGAGCATTACAAGGAAGATATGCAGGACTTGCGCCAACCATACCCTCTGCAAACGACCATCGAGTGCCTATCATCGTCACCACCTGGACCCGCTCCACCGCAGCTCCGACTTCAAAGCAACCCAACAATCCACTAAAGAGCACCTCGGACATGCCGGGAAGAACCCACTACCAAAGTCCATGCCGCGACCGAAGCTCCACTCGACGCCATCATCGTTGCCAGAACAGAAACCAGCGCCCCGCCTCCGCTAACCACGCGGCGAAGATGCCGCCATCCACCGGTCTTCCAGTCGTAGCCGACTCCAAGACGATGCCCCCAAGGAGGAGAGAGACACGAAGACGCCTTCATCGCGCGATCTAGCGGATCTGAGGTTTCGTTCTGAAGCCCAAGCCATGGAGAGGAGGAGCACACCTCCATGACGACGCTTCCAAGAAAGGGCACAACACCCGCGGGCGCCGCCATCGCCGGCTTCAATGCAAACGGAGCAAGGATTTCTCCCCGAGACATGTCGACCACCTCTACCACCACCGACCGCCGCCCACCAACCATCACACCTGCCGAGGCTGGCCTCCTTTGTGTGGCAGGATCCCACGATCCAACGCGCCCAGATACGCACCACCCCTGGCCATAGCCGCCGACCACTACCGCCACAGAAACCAGCACCGCAATGCAAACGAGCAACACCCATATCAGAGAGATCCAAATCGGAGCTGCTCGAAGGAAGCCGTTGGGCAGGAGCAGACCTTCGACCCACACCACACCTCGCGCCCCGGGGAACACAACCAGTCGTGCCCGACGAGCGCCAGCCGCCGGCCATCGACCTGCGCTCCACGCACACATCTGGATCATCGCGCGCACACACGCCATCCACGCAAGCTGTCCACGCCCAGGTCATGCAAGAGCCCGGAACCAGGCCGCTGCCCCGGCGCCCCCACTCGCCGCCCGCAGCCGATGCGAGTCACCGCACGCCCGCAGCCATTCGCCGGCCGCCGCCGCAAGCTCCCCCTCGCCAGCGAGCCGTCGGGGAAAAGAGACCCTCGCCGCCGCCGGATCCACGCAGGCTTCGCCCGGTGGAGCCATTGGCGACGGCGAGGGGAGGAGAAGCGGTGGATGGTGTCAGAGGCGCCGCCCGAGTCGCCTCTTGCCTGAAAAATTATATCATAAGAACCTCTTTCGAATACAATCCAGTACAGAGTAGTATACTTTTCATAGCATATACTCTACTTCATATTTTGTTAGTCATTTTAGATGATGCAAGGGCACTTGAAAAAAAAAAGAATATTTAGATGGTACAAAATGTGACTTATCCCAAAACAACAGAAAGTGAATAAATTTTTTTAATGGACAAAAAAAAGGAAGTGAGTAAAATGGAAATTGTCACGAAAGGACAAGCCCCGTCTTCTCTCTCGCAGTTTGGGATCGAGGCATCGAGCTTTTCTTCCTCCCGTAAAATCTCCCAATCGACCGCCGCTGGGAGAGAGCAGTCGCGCCGGAGCCGGAGGACTTCTCTGCGCCGCCATCACCACTGTCCACCGTGGCGGGTAGGGGAGGGGTACGTGGCGTCTACTGTAGGCCGCCGTCGGTGCTGGGAGCCATCTCCGCTGGTGCTCTGGGGCCGGGGCCTCCTGAGCCTTTGCTGGGCGCTGGAGGAGCGACGCCGGGGCCCCCTCCGGCCGGGAAAGTTTGCGCCAAGATCAGGATCTGCAGCCGTGGAGTCGAGCCGCCACGCCTTGGTGAGGGACCGAGGGGATGGATTCCCCCATGGCGGAGAAGGCGACGGTGAGAATCCCATAGCCTTTCGTGTTGCCGTTCTTATTCTTGTACCGCCGGTAGATTCGGTGGATGACCAAGTGATTGTACTTTCTTGGCAAGAGCGTGCTGACATCGCATTAGGAATCCAAGGGAAATGAACAAGTGGTGATTGTAATCGGAACAGATCTGGGGTATTTGACCGGTGTCGCATTGTCGGCCGCATTTCCTCGAACCTTGCTCCCAACTAGGATGTCATTGAGCACCGTAAGGACCTGCGGGTTTGGTGTGTTGGAATGGGAGTGACACTGACTGGGAGTAGTGAGATTGGATTTTTTGGGGTTGCTCATATGAGGTGGAAATTCATGCCTTTGTGGGCTTTGGGATAACTTTGTGCTAATTTGGGTCTCACGTAGACGCACATTCGTAGTTCTTGTCACTATATGGCTTGGTACTACTGTTTGTTCTTATATCTGTTAACTATTTCGAGTCTCTGAATTTGGTTAATCGGCAACAAAGTAACCTGATCCATATTTCTGTATGCAGAAACCAGAGGAGGAAGATAGGTTGAGCGTGCTGCCAGATGATGTTTTACTGTCTATCCTGCGGAAAGTCGACATAAGCACGGCCGCACGAACAAGTTCACCGTCAACACGGTGGAGGCAGCTGCCCTGGCTGCTGCCTGAGCTCAACATTGATGTCAGCTGTTTCCTACCTGCTCCACGCTCAGACCCGATTGAGGCAAATGACATGCAGGAAGCTATGGTGGCTCTAACCAAAGCAACCAGGAGTTTATTGTCTAAGCCTCATAGAGGATCCACCACCACTAGGCTGGACCTTGTGATCTACTTGATCAATACTTTCTTGTCTGACCTTGGCCCACTGGTGGGTGACGCAGTCGATTGTGGTTTGTTAAAAGATTTGGATCTCACCATTCATGACGGGACAGATGCTCTTGACCGTAATGAAGAGTATATGCTTCAGCGAGCGCAGGATATATATGGGTTTTTCACTGCCTACCCTAGTGTGCTCCATTGCCTCACAAAGCTCTCTCTGTACAATGTATGCTTCAGTGAACTGGACATCAATCGTGTCCTGTTTGACAGCTGCAAGGAACTGAAGCATCTATTCCTCATTTACTGTGATACTGGCCGTCACACTCTCTGTAAGATAGATGCACCAAATTCAAAACTCAGTGTTTTAGAAATCCACTTCTGTCGCTTTGAGATGCTTGAGTTGGTCTGCCTTCCAAAGCTGGAGAAGCTCACATGGTATCATTGGTTGTCTGAATATAGCCCTTTGCTGTTGTGTTATGTCCCATCTCTTGGGGAATTAGAACTCTCATCTGCGTTAACACTAAAGCATGTACCATTTAAATTAAGTGAGGTTCTACATGGAACCACAAGCATACATACTCTGACATTGGACTTCCAAGGAGAAAAAGTACCACTTTTTTTTTTGTATTCACTACATTTGTCACGCCTCTGTATTTTCTGTGTGGTCATATTTATCCGGGATATACCATGGATGAGTTTTTGCATGATAGAGTACAAATAGAGCTGTAAATAATTCAAGAACCTCCATACATGTACTGTTTTCTATAGATGCTTTTAAACTGTTTCTTCTTATTTTGTTTTTATCTTGTGGTCAGCTTTGGATGCAACCTGAAATGAAGCAACTCTGCACCGCATTCAACAAGCTAAGGAAGCTGTCTGTGTGTGGTATCTTTGTTGAATTTGACATTATATGGACGACAGCCTTTCTTGTGGCGGCACCCTCCATTGAAATATTATGTATTGAGGTAACTTGTGCAGTTCCAGTCTAGTATTCCAGTTGAAGTATGTTTCTTATTACCCTTCTAAAATAATGCTTTGTAAGCTTCTCTCACTCTACACAACTTATGAACACATCTT